GGTGCTAATGAATTCCAAACCAACCCAGAATTATTAATCAAAAACTAAAAGACTTAACACTGAGAACACTGAGCTATTTAGGGCCAAAAGGGTGTAATGGCACTTACTTATTTAAAAAAAAAAATCAATAAATATTGATCATTAAGTATATTGTCCTCCACATGTTTACAAGGTTTTAATATTTAACATTTAAATTACTATAAATAGTCAGGACAGAGTGTGGTGATTTTTTGTTTTGGCTGTCCTGTCGGTCAAATGTCACTTACACTATGGTTCTTACAGCTGAAAGACACTTCATTTAAATAGAAGCATAATAAAACTTACAAAACCCGCCTTGGTTCATCTTTCCACTGCTCCAGCAATCACCATCTCTAGATTGGTTGAAATTAACCCTTAATTCACCCAGTTAGACGTGAAATATGCTGCCTCTATACATGCTTAAATCACTGTTTATTTAAATGGAGTCTGGTAGGTTTGGCTGTTTCTGGTGAATCAAAGAGGATCTTACTCTGCAACATAAATGTTTATCTCTGTCGGGATCCTTTCCACAATGTGGTCAGACACTTAAAACAATCTGAGCCTGTCAGTGGCAAAAACAAACACTTGAAGTGAACGGAAACTGACCCAAGTGATAACACTGCAGCCTGTTTTGCTTGCTCAATAGTGAGCCGGTATTAAAAACAGTTGTTCCCTTTACTTACTGAGACACAGACACATGGGAAAATAGGGGCCAGCTTTAAAAATAATACAGACATTACCCTTTAATATACCCCACTGACAGATGGGACACTTTGTTTCTACATCCTGTAATACCAAGGTTTATACAACTCACGTGGAGCACTGATGGGATTGTGATTTGGGGCAAAAGATTGTGTAAACATACAATGTAAACATCTGTTTTTTTTTTGTTTTTTTTTTAAAAAGAGAGATTAGAATTTGATGAATATTACTGGGCGAAAAGCTCCCCATCATTGTCCTCTCCGTCATCCTGATCATGTTTTTTCATGTGGATGCAATTTGCTCCCGACGATAACCAACAGCAATAGTCTATTTCTGGCACCGTGAGACGCGTGTGAAGCACAGAGGAAACTGTAAATCCCAGGTTTTCCACACTGAAACATGCCAGCACCTACACGACATCTGATGCCACTGCAGCTCTGCTCATCCTCACGCAGATCAACAGTGACGTTACATCACTTGGCACTAATGACAACCAAGGTGCTTATGCTATTCCAAATCAGATGTAACACAGTTAGGGCATTAAACTGAGCTGGGTCCTAGTTAACAGAATAAGGGGCAAAAAAAAGAAAAATAAAATTCACATGTACATAAAATGTTCAAAATAACTGCTCCGAAAGGTGAGAAAAACAAAAAAATGTAACATTCAAATGTAACAGACATAACTACGTTGACGTGCGAACATCTACTACATGGTAATACTGTGAACTGCACCATCCCTCCCAAAAAAGGAAAAAAAAAACTAACACAAAAACAATATAAACAAACAAGATTTAAAGTAGACTCTGTATGGCTCCAGGTAGCTTTGAATGTCTGCTCCAGACCAGAGGCTCTGACCATATTAAGCAACAAGAAGAAGAGGAGATAAAATCATGTATTAGATGTCCTCGATGCTCTCTCTGTCTCCTGGACTCTTTCACAGCTTCAAGTCTTTAGTGTTTAGTGTGTGTGTGAGTCTGGTGAACCGGGCGGCAGCCGACAGAGAGCAGACAACACTGGAGAAAACAAAAATGAAGGTTTGTAAAAGGATTAACTCTCCAACCGTGAACACGTCTTAGCTTAGATTCTGGGACGATCGTACCAATGTGGAAAACACAGACAAGATTCCTGTAAGATAAGCAAGTATTTTGCCCTCCCACCCTCCCCCCTCGCCCCTCGCCACCCAATGCAGTTATACAAACACACACATACGTACAGAACACTTAGCGAGTATATGAGAAAGAAGGGGGAAAGTTCTGTAATAAAAACTAGACACATTCAGGAAGTGTGGGAATTGTTTCTGCTGGAATTGATTGCGAATCAGAGCCCTTACGTTTTACGACGATGCAATCAGATAGGCCTGTGTGTGCGTGTGTGTGTGTGTGTGTGTGAGAGTGTGTGAGTGCATGGCTCATGTAAATAAGCATGTGACTCCAAGCCAACACAAGTGAATTAAGAGAACAATTGAAAGTGTGAACTGAGTAAGTTAAAAAAAAAAAGTGTTTTCAAACCCTCCAAAGTCCAGCGGGTTAGTCCGATGTGAGTGTGCGTGCTGTGATTGTGTGTCCAGCCCATTCAAAAAGGCGGAAATCTTGCATTCGAGCATGGTAGGGGAACACAATTAAAAATAGTTAACCCCTTAAAAAGGAAAGCATAACAGAGGAGAGGATTATTTCTGTCCATCCGAGGACAGTCTGTCTGTGAGAGAGGAGAGGAGAAGTCAAATGGCTCCACTGAAGTGCTGAAGACTAAAAACAAAAGACACTGAGGGCAAATGGGAGACGAGAGCAGTGGTGCAGGTCCTTGTTCAGTAGTCGGTACACCCAAAACAGTCACTTCCATCCACACACACACACACACACACGCACGCACGCACGCACGCACACACACAGACTCACATTCTCTCACATCTACACGCATACACACACAGGGTACTGTGGTTAAGGCAGTGGTGGCAGGTGAGGCTGCAGTGAGGCCAGGGCTAGAATCGGAGAATCGGCGGTCAGGGCTCATGGCAGTGAAAGCTCCCACGACTGAGTCAATACTCCTCCTCATCCTCCTCATCTGTTTCCTCATCTCTCTCTCTCCTTTTGCTCAGTCACACTCCTCAGCATCGGTCACTCGAATGACATCAGATTGGCTGGCACCTGGGCGGAAAAAAAGGAGTAAGGTGTGTAAAAATACAGGCCATATTTAACAGTGTGTGTGCACGCACGCGCGTGTGTGTGTGTGTGTGTTGGAGTGTTTATCCGGCTCCATACCTGTTGCCTATTGCTCTGACAGGCAGCACTCAGATGTTTGAACCAGAGCGAAGCGTTCGTTTTGTTCCCTGCTTGGTACTTGTAGGTGTTACCTAGGCAACGGAGACAAACAGCGTGAGATGCCAAGTCTCTCGTTTCCACCTGTTTTCTCAACAGTCTGGAAACATGGCTGAGGCCTCACTTGACTTTGGCTCGCCGGGTAAAATAAAAACAAAATCACAGTGGAAAAGTTCAGGACAGAGGTGACTGGAGTGTGTATGTGTGTGTGCGTG